TATTATTACTACTACTACTACTACTCTGTTTCCTTCTCTAGATTAATGTGGTCTCCTCCAGTGTTTGCCCGTAATTTGTCTTTGACCTTATGTTGTGTTTGTCCATAATGTAATTACTTGTATCTACACTGCCCTCTGTCTGTAATTGGCCTTTTAGCTGTTATCTCAGCACATAAATAATAAAGAATTAAACTGGATTAATATTGTGTTGGAACTCCACTCTACTATAGGCCTTCATGGCGTGGTATTTAATCAAGCACTGGATCAACCCTACTTTCCTACATTTTTGTTATTAATGTCGGGTCGAGATATTGATAATGTTTTTCAAACATTTTTATCCTCGTATTATCAGCTCCACGACGTCCATATGTGTGACCTGTATATTTGTGGAATCAACTTGTGAGTATGAGAGAAGGTTAGAGAATAGAATCACCAAATTATGAACCGAATAATATTCAGAGGAGAGTAAGTCCTAAGTGCAAACTTTATTATTTCACGCGGTTTCAGGGATTCGCTACCCGCTACAAGCGGCTCGTTAGCAGAGAGTGTCAATTTATGGCGTGTCTTTCTCTGTCACAATCTCTGGCATCCGTAATCTCTGACGTCATTAAAAGGGGCGTTGTTTAGGCAAATTGTAATCATCACCACGAAGAGAATGCCTGCCTATGGAACTAGCAACCAATTGAACGAGGCTGATCGGAAAAAAGCGATCTGTGTTTCGAACTGCACCGTACTCGTAAGCCTCCTCTATGTTGATTGGTTTGACCGCTGAGTGCATAATTAAAATATATTATCAAATTTTAACATCCGCCTAAATTAATATTAATATAAGCGATTCCATACGGTGTAAGAGTGTAGACTGGATTCATCTGGCTCAACACGGTGAGTCTTTGTGAACACGGTAATGAAAAATCAAACTCCATAAGAGAAGGAGAGTTGATTTGTGAGCTGAGCAACTATCAGGTTCTCGAGAAGTGCTCTGTACTAAAGAGTTACTGTTTTTGTTGTTGTTGTTATTATTGTTATTATTATTATTATTAGTAGTAGTAGTAGTAGTAGTAGTAGTAGTAGTAGTAGTAGTAGTAGTTCTTTATTTTTATTGTCACTATGTTACAAGCCGGAAGATGGTGGTTACACTTCCCAATGAGGTCATTGGATTTTTCAATTTACCTAATCCTTCCAGCCTCACTATGACCCGGGAGTCGACTCAGCCTCTAACAGAAATGAGTACCAGGAATCTTCCTGGTGGATAAAGGACGGCCGGCGCGTAAGGCTGACAAACTCACCGCCATCTGTGAGCCGATTGTCTAGAAAATGTCGGAGCCTCGATGTCTCACAACCCTATGGGTCTGTTACAGGGACAGCTTTTCTATTTTCTTGTCTTTATTATGTATTTTAAGTGTTTGCCTCTAACAGGCCACTTATGTAGGCAAACGATTTAATAAATAATTCATCATCATCGTCATCATCACTACCACCATCAAGATATTACGATGAGACTATAGGACACGTAGCATGCATGAGGGAAAAGAGAAATGCATATAACATTTTAGGTGGAATATTTCAAGGGGAAAAAGATCAATTGGAGGACCTAGTCGCTGACGGAAGGAAAATTCTGAAAAGAATCTTCAAAAGGCAACTTCTGAAAGTGTGGATTGGATTTAGGATCATCAGTACAGATTCTGAAGATGGAACCTTCTTAACACATTAACGAAACTTGCTGTTCCATGGAAAGCAAGTAATTTCTTGACCACCTGACTGACTGTCAGCTTCTTTATCTATCTATCTATCTATCTATCTATCTATCTATCTATCTATCTATCTATCTATCTATCTATCTATCTATCCTTGTTACTCCCACTTGGAGCATAGGGTATCAGCGAAACGTTTCGTTTCATTTCAGTTTCTTCATCATAGACAGCCGGCAGGATTCCTTAGACGGCCGCTGCCTACACACAGGACAACATAGACACAGAATAGACGCAGGCAGACAATCATGCCTTGAGTGGGATTCGAACCCACGAATCCCAGCGTTCAAGCTGGCGAAGGCAGTTCATGCCTTAGACCGCGCGGCCACTGTGATGGGCCAGTTTCTCTATAGAGTGAGTGAATTGGTAATGCGCGTGATTTCACAGAACTTGTTCTCCAAAACTCTGCGTGGAATCATGGCAATACTTCACTCACGAAAAGTACACAAGTCTTGAGTCGTGATTCATCGAGCGCAGATCAGCGTTGTACTATACCTGAGATCAGAGCTATATATTGGATACGAGTGTAAGACATCAACATTGGTCCAGAATCGCCTCCTAGCAGAGATATTTCTACTGTGTTCTGCCGAAGCACTATAAAACAGCTTCAGTGTTCTGGGTTTGTAAAGGTAAAAGGCAAGATAAAGTTATGCGTCTGCTTAGTTAATTAAGCACCACGTCAGGGAAACGTGTAGGGGAGTGGAGGGATAGCTTCATAATTCTTGTCTTCGACACTAGATGTAGATGAGTGGTCAGCTTCACGCCCTGGTCAGTTTACACCTGAAATAGAAGACCCCGCTTATAGCTATTAAGAATAAACCTATACCTATACGAGTACTCCTCTGTGGTCTAGTGGTCGGAGTTCCTGGCTACAGATCCATAAGTCCCGGGTTCGATTCCAGGCTCTACCAGATTTTCTGAGAAGTAGTGGTTCGGAATGGGGTCCACTCAGCCTCGTGAGGATAACTGAGGAGCAATTTCACGGGGTTCGATTCCCGGCAGGGGCAACATTTTTCTTCTCCACAATGTCAAAACTTGCTCTGGGGCCCACCAAGACTCCTATATAATGAATAGCTGGGGTTCTTTCCCCGAGGTTAATGCGGCTGGAGCAGGAAGCTGACCACTTATCTCCATCTAGGGCCGAGGTCAGGAATGGTGGAGCTATGCTTCTACTCCCCCATATGTCTCCATGGCATAGTGCTTAATTAATTTTAGTTACGTAAATGTACAGTAACGATGAAAAACACTTCCGGCCAAAGTGTCAATACAAGACTAGATTGAGATATTGGGTTTTCGGACTTTATCCATCGTGCTGGTTTTTAACATAACTAGGAAAAACACGACGTTTCGGAAACTGGATCTGTTTCCGTCCTCAGGTGAGGGAAAACACATATTCTGTTGGGTCCCTTAGAAAGAGCTAGCCTCAATCACGGTGACTGAGGCTAGCTCTTTCTAAGACGGAGACAGATCCAGTTTCCGAAACGTCGTGTTTTTCTTAGTTATCTTAAAAACCAGGACGATGGATAAAGTCCGAAAACCCAATATCTCTGTGTGTTATACACCATCGTGAGAATCCTGTAGAAACTACTTAAGACTAGATTGACTTGCCCGCAGTTTGTGATATATTAAAATGGGAATTACTTTACCTTAAATTCCCTGAGGCATATTTTTTTGGAAATATGGTGAATCATGTCCGTATATTAATTTCTTTATTATTCGACAATAGAACGTGCTGGCTATTACCAGGGACTTCTCGTGAATCAGGGCCCTCTAGTTGACCTTAGACAGTCTTATGATACATTTGTCACATCAGTGCTTGACAGACCGCACCTAACTATCTGTGGAAATCCGCTCTGGTGTGCATTTCCTTTGTGAACGTGTGTGATATACGAAATGCTGAAACAACATATTCCGGGCTACCATGATTAGCAGCAGTGAGTGTTCCGCTTGAAATTCAGCGGATATGACGTCTTCTGAATTTTCACGAGAGTCTGTTAGGGAGCACGCGGTAGCGTAGTTGGTTGAGGTATTTTGCTACAAGCCGGAAGGTCGCGGGTTCAGGTCCTGATGAGGTCATTGGATTCTTTTCAGTTGACCTAATTCTTCCAGCCGCACTATGGCCCTGGAGTCGACTCAGCCTCTAACAGAAATGAATACCAGGAATATTCTTGGGGGTAAAGGGCGGCCGGCGCTTAAGGCTGACAACCTTGCCGCCTTCTATGAGCCGATTGTCTAGAAAATGTGGGAACCTCAACATCTCACAACCCTATGGGCCTCCACAGCCTGTTACAGGGATACCTTTACTTTACTTACTTTTTTAGCCGGCATTTCCTGTTATGACCAATTAAAACATTGGACATCNCAGAAGACTGCTTTCTTCATAGTCACCGCCGTGAAAGCCTCAAATCTTACATTGGACATCTTGTGTGGAGTGAAATTATTATGTTTTCTAAACGTTTATTTCACTAGAAAATACAACTATTCATACTTTATTTAATAATAATAATAATAATAATAATACCGTGTTACTTCTACTTCTCGTAACATAATACGCCGTGTAATTTATGACGCATCCAGTTTTTGAATGTGAGTTTCAGAGATGAAATTGGAAATGTGTACATTCCTCAAATTTAAGACTCCCCTCAGTTTTTCAACGGGGAAAAAAAATGTGAGAAATGTGCTTCATATATTCGAAGTAATACGATATAATCAGCGCTATTGTATGTGTGAAAGCATTATGCCCAACTGTTTGGGTACATCCAGAAGCCAGTTGGCCTTTGTTGACCTCATCGAAGTGGTTTACGAGTATACTCTTCAACCTAAATATCACATACATTCTCATCCGTCCATTTCATTCTTCCGAAACCACTCCGCTAGTTTAATGGACTCATACTCAGCAATTATATATATATATGTTTCTTAGACTACATTTCTGTATTGCTCAAGCAGCTTATATTTTACAGTTTTCAATAAAATCTGAAAGGGCATGTGTCCCGTAAGTGCCCAACCAGTTCCACTAGTGAGTCTGGAGTGGGAGTGGAGAAAGAAAGTTATTTTGAGGGATGGCAAGGGGCGTGAAGAGATAGAAGAAGGGGAATGTTAATCGGCCGGCGTATTCCGCGAGGGAAGTAGGCCGCGCGGACGTGTCATGGTAGAGAGGCGAGAGACGGTCATAATGAGCACAGCAGACCTCTCCAAACCTCTTCAAAACAGCAGATTACTTTCGTCTATTTTAAGGAAACGATATGATACTTTTGAAGGAGGTTAGCGTACAAAGTAAGTCTTGGAGGTTACGTTGCTATAGCTGCTATGTTGGTAGCCACTATTCATTTCCGTCCCCTCCCGCTCTTCTACAACGTTCCATGATGACGTCATCGGGAGTAGGAATCTCGACGGCCGCCATGGCTGTGCGGTGTACGAAGTGCGAGTGAGTGTGTAGGGCTCGTGTTTTTATTGTATACTACAACAGCCACACACGCTGTAGTGCTTTATTCTTCACCGGACCTACGTTGGAAGACGGCGAGGAGACTAGAAACTGAGTTTGTGTGTTGCTAAGACAAACAACACAGCTGAAATTTAACGTTTCAGTAGCACGAGTCTTGAAGAGAATATTTAAAGAGTTTTTTTATGAAATAAAATGTTTTATGATATGAGTGCTGGAACAGTTTCAAGGTGATATTAATCTATTTTGATAGTGAGAAATATGTTATTTGTGATAGTTCAGTGATTTTAGTGTTGGTCTATTATATGTGCACAATACACATACACGCACAAGCGCTGTAGATTTGGAAGAGGGATTTACCACCATCCCTTACACACAGCATCGAAGGTGATTCAATGCACAGCAGGAGCAGCTGGACAAACTAGAGAGCACAAGCAATAGAAAAATACTTTATAATAACATTACATTTGACACTTGGTACACCGCGTCAGAGAAATTACAAGAATCGTGTGTGTGTTTTTTTTTTGTGGTTATATCGTGAATTAAGTTCGTAGCAAAGCGCTATGTCTAGAGTTTCCGTCAACAAGCCGATTGCCCGTAACAACAGAGTGAGAAAAATAAGTAGGGTGAGTAAGTAATTTTTCACTTTTACTTAAGTTTAATATAAAATTTTAAGAACCCAGTATCGACTTCATGCTAGATAAAACAGCTGTGCACATTCTGAAGGACGTGCGCAAGCGCGGAGTCGATCAGCTGTTCATCTATGTTGTGGGTGGCGTCTTACTTTGTCTTGAAGTTCTCTCTGAAATTTAGTACTGTTGTCGCCATTCAGCACTACCATCCGCCCCCAGCGCCCCAAACAACCATACTTTAATTGAAACGAGTTGAGAATTCCTGCCCTGTACAGTAAAAATACAAATTTGTATGGCCGTGGGTTTGACAGTGAGGTCACAGTTATCCCACGTACTGTGTGCCCACTTGTTTCTTTTTTAGATCAATAGATGGCACACAGCGAATTGTGAAATGTAGTCATCACGGTAGTCGGGGCAGCTCAGTCGGTATGAGTAGACTGCGGTCTGGACAACCGACAAATCTGTTAAATTCCCGACAGGAGAAAGAATTTTTCATCTCCGCAGCATTTGGTACTGCTCCGGGGGCCACGCAGTCTCTATGCATGGACAGCGGAGGCTCTGTTTGCGAGTATAAAGCGGCAGGGGTGTAAAGCTGACCGCTCCGATCAGTTCCTCAGATTAAGAATGCGTAGAGCTATATAGTGTGATGCTTAATGAAGCACGGACAAATTTCCTTCCGTTCTAACTTCGTGAAAATACCTCTTATGTGTTTTAAAAATCTAATTTTTAATCACAGCTTCCCCTAACTTACTTACTTACTTACTCACTGACCCATGGAGCTGAACCCTTCTGCAGGAGCCGTCAATTTTGCAGCTACTCAAGGACTTCCCAGTATTTTATGGAACCCGAAGGTTCATTACCGTGTTCACAAGAGCCCTCCACTGGTCCCTATCATGAGTCAGACCAATCCAATCTATACCATCCCATCCTAGCTCTTTAAGATCCATTTTAATATTGTCCACCCACCTACGCCTTGGTCTTCACAGTGGTCTCTTTCCTTCTGGCTTTTCCACCAGTACCCTATATACATTCCTCGTCTCCCCCATTCGTGCTACATGCCCCGCCCACCTCATCCTCCTTGCATTATTTTTATTCCACATACAAATAAAATCACTGAATTTTAATGGTTGCTTTTACTGTTCAATATTTTCATAAGAGGCGTTCAAAAGTCGAGAGGCAATTGTAAAATTTTATTCCGACTTACTCCGGGAAAATGATGGCCGAAGCGAACCTTGAACTTGACTATATTTCAGTCCTATTTGCCATGTATTCATAACTAATAGCCATCATGACATGACCAAGTAACTAGAACACTTCTATTGTGTTCTGGAGGCCCCGGGTTCTATTTTCGGTTGCAACACCAGGTATCCAGACAGGGATTTTATTAGTTTACCTAACTGGTTGCACTTAAATGTTGAGATAGTACTTTAAAATAGGCCACGACTGCCGCCTTCCTTACCATTCACAATCATTATCCCATACGGCCCTGTATAGCTACGGAGTCGAGAAAGCATAACTGATTAAAAAATGAAAGGGTAAATTCGTCCATCTTTCCTGGAACGCAGCTAAACTCAGTTGAAACAAAGTAAGCACATGAGAAGCTGATAGTCACGTAGAAAATAAATTCGCCACATTTGATGGAACTCTGACATTCATTGACGCGTTAACTGCAATCGCGCCTGTGGAACCGGTCCTGCGGTAATTGATTGCTGTCAGCACGTCGAAACATGCGTGAAATCCATGAAGAGCACGGTCTTCTGTTTTGTAACACCGTGTACTTCGGAGGAACATATCGCCACCATCTTCCGGGTGCAAGAGTAAGCCAGATAAACCAGGCGGTAAACTGAGCCAGTAACACGGAAGATCGTACCCTTCATAGTTACTGCTGTGAAAACCTCAAATCCAACATGTGTCAGATCCAATTTAAGTTAAGATGTATAAAGTATAAGGTGTTAATAAATCCAATCATGCAACCCAGAACACGTCACGGAGCACTTGACAATATAATATTCGATTGTATTATTAGCAATCATATATAATTTTAATTATCTCAAAAACCTAACGACTTAACAGGAACAATTTATGGAGCATACGTGCGCTCCCTTTCTCAGTTCAGTTTTCTGTGCATCTTCAGGCATGACGTAAGCCCGACGTCATTTATACACGTTACACAGAATATATGCTGTGATCTGACATGTGACGCCATGAGGTCTGGTAGATGTTTTACCCACATTTCAGACGTACATCTGCCGATAACTTCAAGATGCATAATCATTAACCCGACTACACGGTGTCAAATTGAATATTAGAGTAACCTTGAGTACCTTAAGTGTCGCAATTTTAATTTTGCGGAGGTGCTTAGAAGTAGTGCTCATATTTTTTGAATATAAGTGTTGTCAAGCCGGTCACGGTAGCCCAGCGGTCTAAGGCATGCATTGTCTTCGCTCGCTCGGAAGCCTGGATCGTGGGTTCGAATCCCACTCAGGGCATGGATGTTTGTGTGCGTTTTTCTGTGTTTGTCTACAGGTAGAGGCCTTGCGACGAGCTGATCACTCGCGCAAGGAGTCCTACCGTATATGTATGATCTAGTAAACCTAAGTGAACGGAGAAGTTCATGGCCCAAATTAGGGCTGTAGCGCCACAGGAAAAAAAAAGTGTTGTCAAAGGCAGACTTTATCTCATGTCATAGAAAACTGTGATCGAGTTCTATTTCGAGGGCACTGAAATGCATAATGCAGCTAGATAATAGTGATTATTTTTTGAGACAGTGTGTGGTTACAGCGGTTTCATCGTAATTTAGTTATGGCAGCAAATTGTTACAATATCAATAATTATTGGATTGTAATGGAAAAAGAAATTATTTCGACCAATAAAAACTCGAATGATATGACGTAGTTTGCTCAACGCAGAACCCATCATTTCTGCAATTATCCTTTGTTTAGAGGAGGTGGACAGGATGCGTCTTGTCACGCATGGTAGACGGCAACTGTTTTGCCTGCTGTTTAATTTTGTTCGTGCAGAAATGTACACACCCTTCCTCTTCTGCAAAGTATCAGCTGATGTTTGCCATGCTGGGCAGCCTCTGTTTCCGAGCTCTATCAACTTTATTTATTTATTTTTTTAAATTGAAGTGCTGATAAATGCGTCTTTCGTGGAACGCGTTGCTACTAATTTCAACCGATATGTTAACATTGCTATCAGAATATCCATTCTAGCGCTCTGTTTGCTAGAAGTGCACGAAAGCTTTGGAATTGAAATGTTTCCGTCATTGTTCAAATCTATCTGTCCTATGGCTTTGCAGTTTCACACAGCCGGTAGGGATCCTTAGTCGGGGGATCAGCCCGTCGCAAGGCCACTACCTACACACTGAACAGCACAAATACAGAGTAAACGTACACACAGACATCCATGTCATCCAGTGATCATACTACGGAATTTTGGTGGGCTAACGGGTTGGTTAAAATAGAACATTTGCATTTATATTAACATTACTTCTGTGTCTGAAGCATGACAGTACGGTGGGTGTGTTTTTTTAACCCCCCTCCCCCCCACACACACACACACACACACAAACACACACTAACACAGAGATAGAGATGGAAATATCTGTGAGGATATGTTTCATACTTAAGTACTTTTCTTAGAGACATTCGACGACAAATAGACACAAATTTATATAAGCAACATTGCTGATTTCCAGTCTTATTTTTCCTCTTCTACTTCCCTATAGGCACAAGCTAGTTCCGGCTTGATAGTCATATTTCCAATGACTTTCGTATGTCCCTATATCGTATTCCCGGCAGGGGCAAGAGATCTATCTCTTCTCCACCGCGTCTAGACCGGCTCTGGGGTCCACCCAACCTCCTATCCAAAGGGCACCGTAGGCTCTTTCCCCCGGAGTAAAGCGGCTGGGTCCCAAAGATGACCGTTTACCTTCATATAGTGCTGTGGTCAAAAATTGTGTAGCTATACCTCCATTCTCCCATACATCCTCATGGCATGGTGCTTAGTTAGTTAAACACAAGGGCCGCGCCATAGCTCAAGCGGTTAGTTGCTGGCTTCTCGCCGCGGTGGTCCGGGTTCGATCCCGGGTCTGGTCAAGTGGGATTTGTGGTGGACAAAGTGGCGCTGGGACAGGGTTTTGGTTTCCCCTGCCGATCTTCATTCCACCAGTTGCTCCACAATCGCCCTCACCTATCATCTGGGGCTGGTACAATAGGCTAGAAGTGGCCGCAGTACAAGGGACTTAGTCCCACCCCACTAGCAATAAAAAAATAGTTAAACACAGGCACAATTTTGCCCTTACCTTTCACTCTAATACATGTCTAAGGTTATTGTCTTCTGAGGTATGACGTAGTGTACTGTGGTAGGCAGTTAACAGTGCCCAAGAGAAACCGTTACTTCCATCTTCAGGGTAGAAGAATATTTTTTTGCCCCGTGGATGGAGACAAAAGGTTCCTCGGATTACACAGGACACCGTCTCAGGAGGCAGTAATGTTTATAGTCACGCCGCAAGGACCTTAATTCGCACATAGTGTGTATCTTGACACTTCTTAAAAATACATTTTCCGTTGCTTGAATTGTATTAATACGTTTGTTCTTCTTGGAATTTTATTTTAATTAAAAGTGTGAGGATATTGAGATTTTTGGTAGTGAAATGTATTTTAATTTATATTTCCAAAGGCTATCTAGAAATAAATCCTTGATTGATGTCCTGATGTACGGGTATCATGTTTTTACTCGTACAGCTTCCATAATGCAATGACGAGAAACAAACGAAGCAGAGCAATGATAAGAGTCATTCATTCATCTGTAATCTGTCAGACGACAGGTCCGCAGTCTCTTCCAAAACAGTTCCTCCACTTAATGCGATCTAGAGCTTTCTCCTTCAAATGAGAATATCCTCTTCTGTCCCCAAGGTAAATGATAAGATATGGGCTATATATCGGAATTGCATCCCTAGATAAAGCAAGCTTTCATCTCCATCTGTCGAA